CGCCGTTGGAATTCCCTCCATCTGCGTCTAATTCGTGGTACAACAGTTCCGACTTCCGCTTCTTCGAGAGCGGTATGAGGTGCATAAGATAAGGCGTGAACGGCGAAGAAGAAGCTCCACTTAGAGCAGAGACCAGAGAGATCGATCCACGAGCATGACGAACACCGTAGACGCAAGTCAACACTCGTAGCTCCTCTTTAGTACCTTGGAACTCAAGCGATGTTTTTTGGTGTGCGAAACCCTTTTCTTGCGCTTTAAGCAATAAAGACGATATCACTCCGCTTAACAAAGTGGTGATCACCAGAGACGCAACGAACATATCATGAATTATCGGAGTAAACCATCTCTACACAGAGAGCCAAAAAAAATACCAATAGGATTAGGTGTAAACAGAGAGAATTATTAACTGACGACTTTTGAGTAAGTTTTACTACCTTGTAAGTCACGTTAGAGTCGAGAAGAACAAGGCCGACATGACCTTTGACGGAAAGAATGGTAGACAAGAAAAGCCAATACTTCTTTGGGATCTTAAGGCATGAACAAGCGAGTAACACTCCTAGAAGCTTCCCTGTAAAGCTTAGAGCCACTGTCATACCGAGGATGAAGTAATGGCGCTTTGTTAGCGAGTGGACGCTGAATCTAAACCCGATGTAACCGAAGTAAACCGGAAGAACAAACTCGTGAATCGGATAACTCAGCCGTTGGATCAACGTTCTGTAAGTTTTTCCTTCTCTCGGAAACATTAGTCCGATGAAAAACACGAAAACCGTTGAGTTTATGTTGCTAGATTCGATGGTTAACGCAATGATTAGAATAATGATGAAGAAAGCAAGCGTTTCGGCTTTGTTTAGGTATTTCTCTTTAGGGTGTCTTTTTGGGAGCCATGAAGCTAAGAACCTATTGATCAAGATTATAACTATGGTGACAAATGCGTAAAGAAAGATATCGCGGAACATAGTCCCGGAGATGAAAGAAATGACGAAAGTGTAGACGAAGATGTTGGTTATCTCGATTAGTAATCCACACGAGATTGCTAGCCGTCCGATCTCAGATGTGTGGAGTTTCCAATCGATGATGGAACGAATGACAACGGGAGATGCCGTGTTGGACAAGGTAACGAGGAAGGCTAAGTACAACGTTAAGAAATCGTTTTTGATATGAAGGAAACGGATGAGAAACCAGAGGAAACCGAGCCAGATGATGGCACAGGAGACTAATGAGCCCAAAGTTATGGCAATGGATTTCTTCAAGTTTCGTTTCATGAAGTCAAGATCGATCTCGAGACCGATCAAGAACATGAAACATGTTCGTAAAAGGAATGAGAAAAATATGTAATAGCTTGCTGAGTCTTTTTGGAGGAAGAACTCGTGGACTTTTTTGATTATTGTGAGCAAACTCAAAACAATCCCTGCCTGAATCAAACAATCAAAATTAACGTTAGTTTTTCTGAATATCTTCAAAATATAAAGTTTCCTTAAACGAACCCTTAATCCTGGTGTTTCTTGCACGATTGGGTTACTTCTCAGGGTTTAAGTTCAACAGCCAAAATTTGCAGGAATTTCACTTGGGTTTGGGTTTGACTATAATAAAGTTAAGGTGTCGAATTGTGAAAATTTAATAACCAAAAAGTGTTAGAAACAAAAAAAGAGTGAGAAACTTACGAGAATCTGTGCAACAGGACCAGCTTGGCCACAGGATTTAAGGAAGAGATAGAAGAACTGAGAGAAGACGAGAATGCAAGCCATCTGNATAAACATTGTATTGAGTGGATTAAACAATGCATCTCCTTCTGGTAAACAAAACAACATTTTTGGATCCATTTTTTTTTGATTCGATTATGAGCATTCTTCAAAGACCAATGCGAGAAAAAAAAAGAAAAAAAATGTGAAAGAAACTTAAATTTATTGTAAAGCGAAGAATTTATATTTTTCTGTTTCTGAAGAAAAATATTTCCAGTGTTATTTTGTTTTGTTTGGAGTTTGAGGGGTTTACATTTACTGATTAACGTGATTATCCTTCAATGACTCCATGCCTCTATTTTTTTCCATTATTTTTCTTATCGACACATCCAATGTTTCCCCACTAAAAGCGGATAAAATTACTATAACAGGAAAATGCGTACAATATAAAAGGAATTAATAGTGTGTGTCGATTAATATAGCAAGGAATACTATAGAGACTAGACTTGATGACATTAGTTATAATTTAGTTTCTTTGAAAGCACTTTGTTTATCTAATCAACCACAACTCACAAGCAAGTGAGCTTAGCGAATCCGACCGAGTAATAATATGAGCATATGTACAATCTCGCGCGTGAGATTTAGAGTATCTTCATTGGTAGTTTTTTCATTATGATCTCTCACCAT